CTTTCCTACTGCTCCTCCCACAAAAGACTGCAAGTTTCATGACTTGAAACAACAGGTGTGGGAGCCACCCGCATCCTCTCTTGCTCGCCCACCCTCCTCAGGTGCACAAAGGACATGCCATGGGAGTACAGAGCTAGAAGGCAGCCACCTGCACACAGGGAAAAGAGCCCTCAGCACAATTAAACCCTGCTGGGACTCTGTTCTTCGTCCAGCCTCTGGAACAGTGAGAAATAAACTCCTATTGTATTTGTAATGGCAGCCTGCGCTGATCAGTGACGCACTGGGCTAAAACCGAGACATCAGCAGAGAGGTTTCCTTCTCGGTGTTCCGAAGCAGAAACCATCTCCTTGCTTATTCCAGCCTCTAGAAGCCGTCCTGTGGCCGCTGGTCCCTTTTTTAGTCTTCAAAACCAGCAACAGATCACATTGCTCTGACCTCTTCTATTTCCCTCTCTCATTTTCATGAACCTATGCAATTATATTGGACTCATCTGGATAATCAGGATAATCTCCCTAGTTTAAGGTCAGATGATTAGCAACCTAATTCCCCATTGCCTTGTAACATAATATAGTCACAGGTCTCAGAGATTAGGATGTGGGCATCCTTGGAGGGGGGAGCATTATCCTGCCTCCCACACTGCGTCACAGGACCCAAGTAGGATTCCTTCCAGAGAAGCCAGGATGGAGACCCGGATCTGCCTATCTCGCTCTCCTTTTTTTTTTTTTTAAAGGTTTATTTATTTATTTGAAAGTCAGAGTTACACACAGAGGAGAGGCGGGGGCGGGGGGGGGGGGGGAGGAAAAGACAGAGGGGGAGGGGGAGAGAGAGGTCTTCCATCCAATAGTTCACTCTCCATTGGCTGCAACAGCCAGAGCTGTGCCAATCCGAACCCAGGATCCAGGAGACTCTTCCGGGTTCCCACACGGGTGCAGGGGCCCAAGGACTTGGGCCATCTTCTATTGCTTTGCCAGGCTACAGCAGAGAGCTGGATCGGAAGTAGAGCAGCTGGGTCTCAAACCGGCGCCCATATGGGATGCTGGCACTGCATGTGGTGGCTTTACCCACTACGCCACAGCGCCAACCTCCCTGCCTATCTGAAAATGGAGAGTAAAAGAGGTTCTAGGGGAAACTGTATGTATGTATGTATTTGATCGCTTCTTGGCCTTTTGGCTAGGATCAAGTGTATGTATGTATTTGAAAGGCAGAGTGACAGAGAGAGAGAAAGAGACAGAGTGAGAGATACCTTCCATCTGCTGGTCCACTCCCCAAATGGCTACAACAGCCAGGGCTGGACCAGGCCAAATCCAGTAGCCTGGGTCTCCCACATGGGCAGCAAGGGCTCAAGCACTTGAAGTGGAGCAGATGGGACCCGAACCTGTGCTCTGTAACAGGATGCTGGCATCCCAAGCAGTGGCGTAACCTGCTGTGAGATGACATCACCGACGGGAAAAGTGTCTTTAACAAGAACGACAGAGGTCAGGGAGGAGGTGCTGGCACCCAAGCCAAACACTGACGTAGGTAAGCTCCTAAGAAGCTACAGGAAAGGAGCATTTGCTTCTACAGGTTCACACCTTGCCTGCCTCGGTGGAGATTGCTTTGCACAGAATCCAGTGGGACTTTTCTTGGACTTGGGAGTAGCTGGATACATCTCTGAATGCAGCAGAGTTCCTGGCTTGCCCCTGTCCTGGCAAGAGGCTGTGTCTGCTTCATGCACATGAAACAACTCTTGGAATTTCTTCCCATGGTCGGAGTTCTGCCTTTAGAGAGACACTGCTGTGTCTCACAGGCCGGCCTTCCTGCTCTTAGGAAGCAGAAGAGCGTCCCCTGCCAGCACCACCAGTCTTTTTTAAAAAAATCTTCAAGGGCTTCCTTTAGCCCCTGTAATAAATGCTGTGGTTATCAAGACTCATTTTATTTATTTGAAAGGCGGAGAGAGGAGAGAGAGAGACAGAGACAGAGAGAGAGAAAGAGAGGTCTTCCATATATTGGTTCACCCCCCAAAAGGCCACAAAGGCCAGGGCTAGTCCAGGCCAAAACCGGGAGCCTGGAACTCCATCCATGTCTCCTGCATGGAATGCTGCTGTTATCCATTCTTCTTTGCCATCCTCTTTGGCACATTTTTAAAAAAAGATTTAATTAACTAATTAGGCAGAGGGAGAAGGAGAGGGAGAGGACCCAAATTCCTGCAACAGTCAGGCCTTGGCCAGGCAGAAGCCAAGAGCCAGCAACTCCATTCACGTCTGCCATGTGGGTGGCAGGGACCCAAGCACTTGGGCCATTATCTGTCGACTGCTCAGGCACATTAGAAGGCAGCTGGATTAGAAGCAGAGGAGCCAGGATTTGAACATGCACTCTGATTTGGGATGCAGGTGTCCCAAAGGGTGACTTAATGACTGTGCCATACTGCCCACTCTTTGGGGCATATTCCTTTTTTAAATGTATTTTTTATTTTATTTATTTATTTATTTTTTTGACAGGCAGAGTGGACAGTGAGAGAGAGAGAGACAGAGAGAAAGGTCTTCCTTTGCCATTGGTTCACCCTCCAATGGCTGCCGCGGCCGGCGTGCTGAGGCCGGCGCACCGCGCCTATCCGATGGCAGGAGCCAGGTACTTATCCTGGTCTCCCATGGGGTGCAGGGCCCAAGTACTCGGTCCATCCTCCCCTGCACTCCCTGGCCACAGCAGAGAGCTAGCCTGGAAAAGGGGCAACCGGGACAGAATCCAGCGCCCCAACCGGGACTAGAACCTGGTGTGCCGGCGCCGCAAGGCGGAGGATTAGGCTAGTGAGCCGCGGCGCCGGCCTGGGGCATATTCTAAAGTAACAAAAACTGAGGAAGGGCCGGTGCTGTGGCTTACTTGGTTAATCCTCTGCCTGCGGCGCCGGCATCCCATATGGGCACCAGTTCTAGTTCCAGCTGTTCCTCTTCCAGTCCAGCTCTCTGCTGTGGCCCAGGAAGGCAGTGGAGGATGGCCCAAGTGCTTGGGGGCCTGCACCTGCATGGGAGACTGGGAGGAAGCACCTGTCTCTGGCGTAGCTCTGGCCGTAGTGGCCATTTGGGGAGTGAACCAATGGAAGGAAGACCTTTCTGTCTCTCTCTCTGTCCAACTCTATCAAAAAAAAAAAAAAAAAAAAGCAGAGGAAGAGGTCACAGGTCTTCTGGTCAACCACAGTTAGGGTCTATTGTAATGGAGGTGAAAATCCAGCAATCCACCAAGTTCTTTTCTTGAACACCTTCCAGGTGATATGAAATGGCCTCATTATCTCTCATCTACTTTTTTTTTTTTTTTATTAAGACTTAGTAATTTATTTGAAAGGCAGAGTTACAGAGAGGCAGAGGCAGAGAGAGAGGTCTTCCATCCACTGGTTCACTCCCCAAATGGCTGTTACTGCCAGAGTTGTGTTGATCCGAAGCCAGGAGCTTCTTGAAGGTCTTCCACATGGTACAGGAGCCCAAGGACTTGGGCCATCTTCCACTGCTTTCCCAGGCCATAAGCAGAGAGCCGGACAGAAAGTGGAGCAGCCAGGACTCAAGCCAGCACCTATATGGGATGCTGGTACTGCAGGCAGCGGCTTTTACCTGCTATGCCACAGTGCCAGTTCCATCAACTATTTGTCTAACGTCTAGCAGGCTGCCTCAGATTTCTTTAGATATTTTATGTCTGCTTCCTACTTGACCCTTTATCTTCTGAGGCCCCTCTTGCCTCCTTGGCCCTTGACTTGTGCTAGGGCTGCGGCTGCCCCATCAGGTTCCCAGCCAAAAAGAAATTTTCTGTGGCCTGCCAGTTGCAGCATCCCTGACCCCTTCAGTCCTGGGGCGACTGCAGAGGGCCTTTTAAACTCTGCTGCTCTGACTCCACCCTTAACAGCAGGAACACCTGGAGCCTGACATTCTCACCTTGCTGTACATTCAGATTCCATGCCTTCGCCTTGGGAATATTATTTGCACCAGGACATCAATAAAAGCTAAATCATTTAGCAGTTTCACTGTGAAACATACTGGTAGAAACAATCAGTATCAATAAAATTGGCAGCAGCTAAGCCAGCCAACTGAGAGGAAGGACTTGGGTTTGCAAAAGTTGCAGAGGATAGCCGGCGCCGTGGCTCAATAGGCTAATCCTCCACCTTGCGGCGCCGGCACACCGGGTTCTAGTCCCGGTTGGGGCGCCGGATTCTGTCCCGGTTGCCCCTCTTCCAGGCCAGCCCTCTGCTGTGGCCAGGGAGTGCAGTGGAGGATGGCCCAGGTGCTTGGGCCCTGCACCCCATGGGAGACCAGGAAAAGCACCTGGCTCCTGCCATCGGATCAGCGCGGTGCGCCGGCTGCAGCGGCGGCCATTGGAGGGTGAACCAACGGCAAAGGAAGACCTTTCTCTCTGTCTCTCTCTCTCACTGTCCACTCTGCAAAAAAAAAAAGTTGCAGAGGACAATACAACGACCCCAGCACAGAAGACCCCATTCAGTGAGGGATGGGGCAAGACTAGTGACTCCCTCCTCTCAATCCTTCACCCACACAGCATTATTCATTAGAAAGAACCGTGGGAAGCCCTGAGAAGATCTTACTAGAGACAGGGGAGGAACACACACACACACACACATCCGGCACTATACAAAAGCAGGGCGCACTGGCAGGGCTCAGTCAGGGGGTGGCGGAGCAAAGAGGGCTGCAGCCAACAAAGAGGGACGCCGAGAAAAGGGAGAGCTGGGAAGGCTGCTGGACTGGGCGTGGGGGGGCATACTAACACTCTCCAGCACTTAACATGCTTCCACGTGCCAGGCAGAGGCTTTTCCGGACATTTTCCCACTCAGTCCTCACAACAACTTAACAGGCTGGTACAACAATTTTCCCCACTGCAGCACGGAGAGGCTGGGCACTGGGCGGGGGGGGGGGGGTCTCACAGGAAGTAGCATAATGCCAACCACCCCAAGCTTACAGCAGTGCCGGGTTTCATCAGTCACCTATGACTTGTGACAGGGCAATTATCTCATCACCCCCTCCACCCCCCCAAATGATGGCACCACAAGCTCAGCTGAGACTGGACGAGAGCGTCCTCCTCCATGTTGTGCACCCTGGCCCTCCCGGGCTCTGCGCCAGTGGGCAAACCTCCCCTGCTCCAGTTGTTCTGGGCCAGGGCTGAGGGCACAGCCTCACAGACACCTGGCCTCGTCCATCCACAAAAACAAAGCTAGGAAATTTCCGCCTGCCCCAGCCCTGGCAGCCACATGTCCTGCCGCTGTGACCAGGCAGGGACAAGCATGTGGGCTCCAGGTATGGGACTTCCCAAGTCCAGGGTTTAGGTCACCCTGGCGAATCAAATCACTCTGCAAGCAGATGCCATGGGTCTCCTCTCACGCTGGACAGCAGGCAAGGTCAGTGTCAGCAGATCTGACCCTAAAAATAGGCTCTGTGCTGCCAGTCAGGGTGTATAGCCGCCACATGCCCCACTGACCAGCACCTCCTGAGCCGGACGGGCCCCACGCACACAGGTAAGGCCCTGCGGTGGGGAGGCCGGCATCTCTCGGGTTCGGCCCAGTGTTTCTCCCAGCACCTGGCTGTGGGCATGAAAAGTCCATGCTCTGTTTTCTGGGGCTGTGCAGGGCAGCTGGCATCGCGTGAAAGCTTTCCTGTCCCCCCTTTTCCTAGAAACCTCATGGAAGTCTCTGCACTTTCCCCTCTCTAATCAGAGCTTCCAGTTACACGTCCAATCCTAAGGGACCACGGGGTGGGTGACAGCTCTCAAGGCAACTCATTGGGCTCCCACTGTGCTGCGCTGCACTTCACATCTCCCGCAAGGTCCTATGCATGCCCACTAAGCCACTAGGGAAGAAAACCCCAGGCGGGGGCGCAAAAACGTCAGTGGGGAGCAATGCAAGGCATGATGGTGACAGTGTGGTTGCTGTGGAAGCCTTCCCAGTTCTGGGGGGAGGTGGGACGGGGGCGGCTGAGTCATAGAGGCCAGGGCCCCCTCACCCGGCAGCCTTGCGCATGGCAGGATGGGGCAAGGTGTCCTGTGTCTCAGGCCAGGGCTTTTTCAACAGACCCCGGCGTTCCAGGCTGTGGCCCCAGTGGCCCCTCATGGGCTTAGACCCCCTAAGCTGTTGGGACTGGGGTAGGGGCTCTAACTGTTCAGAAAAACTAAAAATATTCCCAAGGGAAAACCCCCGCTTTAGAGGGGAGGGGCTGTGGGGGAGAGGTCTGGAGAGGCCAGCAGCACTCCTGAGGGGCCCTGGTCCTCGGTGCTTCTTCTGTGTCCCCTGCTGGTCATTTTGGTTCCCTGCTCCCACCCAGACAAATCTGGGGCTTTCTGAGCTGAGTCCCTAACAAGGAAGAACCTTGGGAGTGGGGTGGGGCCAGGGCTGGGAGGGGCGGAGGACAGCTAGGGGTGGTCAGCCGGCTCCAGGGGCAATTGCAGATCTGTGCTGAGGCTGCGAGGGGAGGCTGGGCCCCTGCCACCTGAGAAGCTGGCAGCTGGCACTGGGACATCTCAGTCCTGAGGTGATGGTGGGCAGGAAGGGAATCTGGGTCCTGCCTACGGGTGGCGATCCTAAGGCTGTGGTGGGCAGAAGAGGAGCAGCTCAGAGGTGCTGAGAACAAAGGAAGGGTTGTCAGCGTTTTCTGACAAACCAAGCCCAGTGGGGTTCACTTGGGGAGGGGGTGCACTGCCCTCCCCCAGCCATAGAGCCAGGGTGGCTTTCCCCAGACACTGCACAACCGTGGGAGCTGGCAGCATTCCCAGGCACTGACCGCAGGTCCAGCACCACCCTGAACACTTGCCTCATCCTCCTAGGTCTCGACTGGCTTCTCTCCCCTCTGCAAAGGCTCGGCAAACAGGGCCACACTGGTCTCCACTTCCAGGCGACAAGCTGAGATGCAGAGCTGAGTGGTCTGGCCAAGGTCACACGTGCTGGACAGAGGCTATGCCCAGTGTGCGGCTTCCGTCTGATGGCCTGGTGCCCCTCAGTAAGGTGGCAGCAGCGGGTTCTCTCTCCAAACTGAGGTTCTTCTCCAAGAGACGCCTACCTGGGGTTAAGGGTCAGAGCTGTTTGTCTTCTCAGTCTGTGGCCAGAGTAGACACGGTCTGCATTTTTGCTTCCAGTCACCCTTCCTGGTGCCGAGCCTGACCCAGTCCCCAGACATGAAGAGCCCTTTCTTGCAGCTGGCGTTTCACATTGGAGCCACTGCGCCCCACGCAGACCCTCTGCCCTGGCCCCAGTGCTGTATTCCCTTCTCCTTATTCTTGGCTCAGAACAGTGTCTAGCACAGGAGGGAATTCTCCACCCACCATCCCCGTGCTCCATCACTCTCTGAGCCCATGCTGGTGTGCCAGAGCTTAATCCAACCACCAGTGAGGCGAGCATTATCCCCATTTTACAGGTGAGGAAGCTTGAGTCCAGGGATGTGAGGCTGCAAGGCCAGTGAGAGCTCTTGTCACAACTCCACACCACTTTGCACTTCACCACAGGGAGGGAATGTCCCCAGCTGAACAGTCAAGGCCCGGCCGCAGGAACCAGGACCACAGAGAAGGGTCTGGCGACACACAAGGATGCCTGGATGGAGCCCCAATTACTAGCTTGTTGCATTCCTTTAAGTGGGCAGGGGGGCTATGCCCCAGCCTGGCAAGTGTTCAGAGTAGATGACTCCCTGGGGCCAGCCACGGCCTTGATCCCTTGCCGAGTTTCTGCTGGGGCTTTAAAAGTGGCAGCCTTGACCCCCAGACTTCCACAGGCCCAGAGCCCCTCTGCAGGGCATGTGACAGACAGGCCCAGAGAGGAACAGCAGCCTGCACTGGAAGTGGTCCACAGGGAGAGCCGCACCCCCCGCCCCAGCGTGACGTCCCCACACGAGGAGTGTGTGTCCAGAGGTGCTGGGCCGCGGGCGAGGGCTGAGAAACCGCCCGCAGTGCTTCCACACAGCTTCAGAGGACGCAGAGGAACCACAGCCAGTCTGGTCGGACATCACGGCCTCTTGTCTCCCACGCCAGAGCTCCCCCTTGGCCGCCTGGTCAAGGCCATCCCAGCTGGCTGCCTGGTCTGAGAAGGAAGCTCAGTATGGGCCTCCAGCCTCCTCATGGTTTCCGGGCGGCCCACTTCTGCCAAACCAAGCTTGGAGACGTCAATTAGGAGTTCATCAATTAGCACCCCAAAGCACTCTGGAGCCCTTCGAGGAGTTAATCATACAAGTTCATGACATCAACACCATCGAGAAGGAATATCAAATTACCTCTTAAATGAAGGCTTTTCTGTTTTTTTTAATAAAAGGATTTTATATTAATTCACATGATTGCCTCCTGTTAACATATTTGCCAGAATCCAAAAAGAAAAAAAAGTCTGTTAAACTTTACGAATGAAATTATAGGCAACAAAAAAATTCGTAGGTTTTCACATCCAAGTTTTAATTTTTTAAAGATCCCCAACTTTTGTTTCCTCCTTGGGATCATTTGGGTATATTTAAAATGCATGAGAACAGGCACTGACTTGTAGTAAATTAGAAATATGTCGTATTTATACACAGACCCTGCTGCCAAATTCCACGCCCCTACATACCGGCAGGAGGTATCACTCCTCTAACAGAACCATTTACCCAACCACAATAACATTTTTACTCTCTCCCTTCTTTCAAAGCACATTCCAAGCCCAACTTGGGTGGTGTCAAGGAAGAAAGGTGGTATGCGTGCATTTAAACACAGACTAACTTGCCCCACAATCCCAATGAGCTCGCAACACAGGTCACCCCATCCCTGCCCACTCCCCTCGTCCCGCCGTGGGCCAGCCCAGCCCTGCTTGTGTCGCACACAGTGGTGACACATGAGTACGGCTTTGGGGAGGCAGCACCAGGCCCAATTTGTGAAGCTGAGGATGAAACCACACTGACCCCTGGGAGGGCCCCTGATGTCAGCTGACTTAGACTACACTCAGTACAGGCTAAGGGAGTTGAGGACACTGGCTCTGATGCCACAAGGTGGGGGCAGGGAGGGGTGCCAGGTTCCCTCAGTGTGGATGCACCCCAACTTCTTCTAAAGCCCTTGACCGACTTGGTTTCGTGTTTTGTAAGGAAATAGTGTAAGCTTCTGGAACCACAGCACCCGGATGTTCCCCGGTTTCCCAGGTATCACCAGGGAGCTGAGAGACCTTCTGTGTCAGCCCAGGCCTGGCTACTGCCATCACAGGCTTCCAGGACTCCGACCTTCCTTTGACGGACTCCCGTGTTACAGGAGGGCAGTCAGGGCCTTGGGATGGATGGGAGGAACACTGTTTGCAGGCCTCGTCCTTAGGCCTACAATTAGGGTGAGCATCACCTACAGGCACCAATTCTAAACGAGATGCCACACGAATTCTTTTCTTGCTATATGCTCCAATAATACATGGCTTATCACAGAAAATTTAAGAAAGATTGTTACTTAAACATAACAAAAACTAGGGCTGGCACTGTGGCTCAATGAGTTAAAGCTCCAGTCTACAGCAATGGCATCCCATGTGGGTGTTGGTTCGAGTCCTGGCTGCTCTTCTTCCGATCCACCTCTCTGCTATGGCCTGGGAAAGCAGTAGAAGATGGCCCAAGTCCTTGGGCCCCTGCACCCATATGGAAGACCCAGAGGAAGTTCCTGGCTCCTGGCTTTGGATTGGTGCAGCTCCAGCCGTTGTGGCCATCTGGGGAGTGAACCAGCGGGTGGAAGACCTTTCTGTCTCTCTCTACATCTGCTTTTCTGTAACTCCTCCTTTCAAATAAATAAATAAATATTAAAAAAAAATAAAAGAAAAAGAAAAGGGAAGAAAAACCACCTGTAAATTCATCACCAGTGTTAAGATGAGGTTTTGGTGGTGTGTACTGCGATTTGACGATGGGATCACACTGACTCTCCTGCTCCTGAACTGCTCTCCTCTCTACCTCTTTTGCTGTGACTTCTTGGAAGTACAAGCATGGCTGCTGCAGGGTTATCGCTGGAGATTATGCCAGTGTGAGGGCTGCTGCGGTGATCTCACGCTGAACACTGGGATTCCCTTTTCTCTGCCCTGGAAACTCCTGGGCCCAAGCCCTCCCCTTCCCCACTCCACCACAGGGCATCTCATCTCTTTTCTGGAATGTTCTAAGGAACTCAGAACTCTCCTGCTTCATTGTACTCAACAGCCCAACAATTCTCTTTGCTTTGGTCCACCACGTTCCAGGCCATGCTGAGGGATTTACCTTGCTTCCATTGAAAGGACCTTTGAGTCGCCACATTTTTTCTGTTCAGATAGAGGACTGCATGGCACGTCTGTATGACTGACTTTGCTTATTTGCTCTTATTCCTAGGCCTGGCTCCCCGGACAATCTTCACAGGCTCAAGGGTTCCATCGAGATTTAATTCCCCACTGAAGGGAACTGTGCATCCCTCCCCCTGCTTCTCCAATTTGCCAACTTAGACAGCAAAACAGTTCAGGTTGGTATTTTGTTTTCAATTATTACTAAGACTAACTGATTTATTTGAAAGTCAGAGTTATATAGAGATCTCCCATCTGCTAGGTCAGTCCCCAGATGGTTGCAATGGCTGGGGCTGGGTCACGTTGAGGCCAGGGCTTCATTCAGGTCTTCCACAGGGGTGCTAGGGCCCAAGCACTTGAGCCATCTTCTGCTGCTCTTCCCAGGACATTAGCAAGGGGCTGAATTGAAAGTGAAGCAGCCAAGGCTTGAACCAGCACCCATATGTGATGCTAGAATCATAGGCGGTGACTTACTCACTGTATCACAACGCCAGCCCCAGGCTGGTATTTTTGTTCACTTACTCACCACTCTGGTTCCAGCTCCATTTTATCAGAAGAGAAGCTGGAGTTCATGGAGGGGGACATGTGTGGCTCTGAGAGCCCTCAGTGACCACTGGGGCTGTGAGGGCACAGGAGGAAGTTAGGGTAGAAATCACAAGTGACAAGTGACAAGCAACTTTCTGCCAGACTGCTCTGTTTGGCCAGAACAGTTAAAAAAATACAGACATGGAGGCCGGTGCCGCGGCTCACTAGGCTAATCCTCCGCCTAGCGGCGCCGGCACACCAGGTTCTAGTCCCGGTTGGGGCGCCGGATTCTGTCCCGGTTGCCCCTCTTCCAGGCTGGCTCTCTGCTGTGGCCAGGGAGTGCAGTGGAGGATGGCCCAGGTGCTTGGGCCCTGCACCCCATGGGAGACCAGGAAAAGCACCTGGCTCCTGGCTCCTGCCATTGGATCAGCGCGGTGTGCCGGCCGCAGCACACCGGCCATTGGAGGGTGAACCAACAGCAAAGGAAGACCTTTCTCTCTGTCTCTCTCTCTCACTGTCCACTCTGCCTGTTTAAAAAAAAAAAATACAGACATGGTTACTTATCATCAAATGTGATTTATTATAAGAATCCCAAAACAGAAAACAGAAAAAACCTCCTTCAGCCCTGCCTCTTACCCACAGTACTGAAACTCTGGTATACTTTTTTTCTAGTATCAAAAGCAAAAAATCTACATAAAGTGTATATGTGAAAAAAAGTATGTATGTATATGTGTGTGTGTGTGTGTTTGCATAAAGTGAAACTATGGTGTAAAAATTACAGCTGTGAATCTGGATCCAACCCTTTCCTCTCCTCTTTGGACAAAGGAATCCTTTAACTACAAGCAAGCCAGTAAAGCAGAGGGGTGCCTGTGCTGCCCATGCAGGTCACGACTTTGTGAAAGGCAATGGCACCCTGGGCCTTCGTGGTCAACACTGCTAGGCCCCCAGCTCCCTCTGCTTTCCTAGTACCTTTATCTGGAAGAAACACCTGGCTCCTGGCTTCGGATCCGCCATTTGGGGAGTGAACCAACGGAAGGAAGACCTTTCTCTCTGTCTCACTGTCTATAACTCTGTCAAATAAAAAATAAAAATAAAAAATAAAACAAAGTATGAGAAAATTTGGGCTTGCATTGCCACATGGAACAGCAACTGTGGCCCCTTCAGGGGGACGTCATTTGCCCTTCAGAGTGCACAGTCCCCTCTACTCCCTAATGTCTCATACCTACTAAGGCCAGTGTGCCAGGTTCTGTTTCTTTTTCAACAGCCAACTCTCTTCCCTCCTCTATGTTACCTGTCTGGCTCCCCTCTCTAAAAAAAAAAAAAAAAAAAAAAAAAAAAAAAAAAAAATTTATTTATTTGAAAGGCAGAATTACAGAGAGAGGAGAGAGAATCTTCCACGTACTGGTTTACTTCCCAAATGGCCACAATGGCCAGGGCCAGGCCAGGCAAAAGCCAGAAGCCTGCAACTCCATCCAGGTTTCCCTTATGGTTGGTGGTATCCCATGTGAGTGGCAGGGGCACAAGTGCCTGGGCCATCCTCTGCTGCTTTCCCAGGCACATTAGTGGGGAGCTGGATCGGAAGTGGAGCAGTTGGGAACCGGTGCCCATGTTGGACGCTGGTGTCACAGTGGGTGGCTTAACTTGCTGCAGCACAATACCAGGCCCTGTCTGGTCCTTTATAAGGAGACTTAGTTCACTGTTCTTAGAGGAGGAGAAAGATGGCTACACACAGGCCAAGCAGCTTTCAGAGCTGGCATTTGATTTCCTGGGACCACATCTTTAAATGCGAAGCTGTAACAGGAACCTGGAGGCCTCTCTTGACAGTCTGCCCAGCTCTCATTATGACATTTCGCCTGTGATTGATATTGTGTGTGTCACTGAGACCTTGGCAGTTAATCTCTGGGTCGAATCTATAGTAACCAAACAGAACAGATCTGTCTCCCCCTTCCACTTTGGCTGTGATCTGGGAAACAGACGCTGCTGGCCTCTCTGAGAATTAGAGATCTGGGAGCCGCGCAGGGAGGGACGCACGCAGCCGCCTTCAGGATCTGGAAAGATTCCAGGTCTGTGGGTTCTGGACGGCTCCACGCTTTGTTCTCTTCCCCCATCAAATCTGCATGCCGGAGGATAATAGATCCCAGAGCTCCCTGTGCGTGCCAAGCTGCTCTGGGCAGACCGCACCACTTCCTCTTCTGTCTGGAAATCCAGCCGGGGCTTTCACGATGGTTCCCTCTGCCGTGTAATGGAGGAGGAGCAGCTTCACGGAGGGTGAGGTCAGCTTCAGTGATCAAAGGAGGCAGACAGGGTTTCAGGATGGAATTGACCCGAGTGTCTCCCAGCAGTCACCTCTTCTCCTCTTCTGAAGCCTCCATTAGTGGCAGGTGGGGTTCAAGAGGGCCTCAACCACCCCCTTTTAGATGCATGGTACCCAGCCTGTACCACCGCCAAACAAGAAACGGGGGTGCCAGAGGTGGGCCAAGTTTTCATCTCTCACAGGTCCCTGTGGGCCCGAGGCTTTATCTTGTGCTCAGGAGACCCAGCGGCTGTGCTGTTTTCCACCAGAGGCTGCAGGCCATGCCTGGAAACACTCACCGCAGGGGGGCCTGAGAGCTGAAGGCTAGGCAGCTGGGTCCATGCTGCACTTTGCCCTTCCCTCCTTTCCCTGCCCCCACCCCCAACGCTGTAACCTCCCTCCCCTACCTACATCTGCAGCTCTACCTGAGTCCCTGGCATGGACTCACAGGCCTTTATCATTCATTCACTTCTCATTCATTCACTCATGCCATCCATTCACCAAGACACTGCCCCATTCAACCAACAATTTCTTGTACCAGAAACTGAGCCTAAAAAGTAAACCACCGCGGAGGGAGCCCAGAGCGAGGCCTCTGTGCCCTCTCCAGCCAGGCCTGCTCCTGTATGCTGGGCCCCAGATCCGATCCCTTTCTGGAGGACAAGGTGAGAGGATTCTGACTGAGCTCCAGTACTGCCCTCCTCTTGCCTCCTCAGCCACATCCCGGGCAACTCTCAGCACGTTTTGGTGGGCAGCAGACTCGCCTGGGAGCCTGTTAAAATACGAGAGTCCTCGGCATCTGCCAGCAGGCCAGTGTGCAGCCCAGGAATCTGGGTTTTCAGCCAGGCCAGATGATTCTGATGGAGGTGGTCTTTAGGTTACAACTTGAGAGACTCCAAAGAAAGGTTCTCTCTGCTCCTCTTTGTCTCTGTCCCACCCCAGGAAGCAGGATATTACAGAAGTCCCACGCCCTGGCTTCCCACCATCCCCATACTCACACTGCTAGCTGGGGAACCTTTACTTCAGCTACCAAATTCTCCAAGGCAGTAATTTCCACTTTCCTTTTAAAATTGGTTCTTTTTTTTTTTTAGAAGATTTTTATTAAATGAATACAAATTTCATATGTACAGCTTTTAGGATTATAGCAGTTCTTCCCCCAATTCCCGCCCTTCCACCCCCACTCCCAACTCACCTCCTACTCCCTCTCCCATCCCATTCTTCATTAAGATTCATTTTTAATTGATTTTATGTACAGAAGACCAACTCTATACTAAGTAGAGATTTCAATAGTTTGCACCCACACAAACACACAAATATACAGCACTGTTTGAAGACAAGTTTTACTGTTAATTTTTGTAGTACAACTCATTAAGGACAGAGGTCCTACATGGGGAGCAAGTGCACAGTGACTCCTGTTGTTGATTTCACAATTAACACTCTTATAAAATTGGTTCTTACGGAGCATTCACACCCACACCAGAGTGAAGCAAGGTGGGGCAAGGGGAGGGGAGACAAAGAGACGGAGAGAGAAAACAGTAACTTCCTTTGTATCACCATCCAACTCCAACCACCGTCACCCACAGCCATGTCTGGCTCATTCACGCCTCTATCAATACTCGTCCCAACACTACAATACTGTGCTTTTCAAATTATGCTATTCTTGAAGCAAACTCCAGGTACTAGAGCAATTCATCAATGAACACTCCAGGCCACATCTCTAAAAGAAAATGTAATCGTCCTCTGCCTCTGCTGCACATCTGCTGTTGGATCTACACTCTGAGCACTCTGAGAAGCTGCGGGCCCTGCTTCGGACAGATGGCGACGGCCACCACGCTTGCTCTTCCACCACAAAGCAGTCGCTTGTGTGTCGCCTCAGTTGTCAGCAGCCGGGGCTCAGCGAGGACTCAGCAGCTCCCCAGGTGTAGAAAAGCACTGCGCCCTTCCTCCTCTATTATCTGGAGTATGCTATAAAAGAGACTCTCCCTCATCTACCGGGAGTACAGTTTGTGTCTGAAAGGAACAGAAAGTGCTAGACTCTTTCCCTGGATATAGCTGTCTTCAAAATGAAAAGCTGCCTCCCTGGCACCTCCCAACAGTGAATAATTGCTTTAAGTATCATTACGCTGTGTTTCATGTGCTTCAATCCACTGGCACTGTGTGTATTACTGATGTTCAAACTGTCCCGTCTGTGATAAGTGGGAGCCTCTTCTACTGTACTCTGAGTGCTCTAACGTGCTCCTGGTGGTCTTACGTTCTCTGTAAGAGGCCTGCCCACCTCACGCTGCACACAGACAAGCCCCCAGAAGTGGCAACAGCGGGGCCGACTGCACATGCCGTGGAACCACGAGCATGCCCTCCCCAGCTCTCACAGCCCTGCTTTCCAGACAGTCCACCGGAACAAGATCCCCACCCGGGCTGCAGGCCTCAGGCACATCGTGAGCTCAGCTCAGGGGCACTCGCGGCCCAGTTCCACAGAGAATTCACTTCCCTGGGGACAAGGGAAACTCTCCACCCACATTCCACTTGCAGAGCCTGGCAAGCTCTCCAGATACACATTTCCCTCTGCAGGCACAGCTTTCCAGCTTAGAACTGCCCTTCTGACCCCTGGAAAGTCACCACAGCAACAGTTGGCCTCATTCCAACCGTCCTCACGCTCGCTAACCCTCAGGCAGCCCCAAGGCTCCACGCTCACGTGCATGGCTGCCTAGCCCCGGCCAGCTCCACACTTCACCTGCCCTTCCTGCTAGCCACGGCTCCCCGTTTGTGCTGAGAGAGCCGCAGACCCACGTCAGGGATCGCCTTCCATTTCAGGTTCCAGTCAGACAAGGGAGAGGGTGCAATGAAGAACGAAGGGGGGAGGCACTGGCCGCAGGAAGGGCTTCTCAGGCCCAGAGCCCAACTCGGGGCTGCCCACATGCCCGTGCTCCAGCACACGCACCCCGGGGAGCTGGAATCTGGGGAAGTGAGGTTAACTTGCCATCACAGCCTTCCTCATTCACCTGTGTGGCCTGGGAAGCGCAGGTGGGAGCACGGCATGAGAGGAAAGCACTTGCCAAAGTGTAGGATCGGCTAATTGGCACCTCTTCTCGTAAAGCTAGTTCCCTACCTGGGTGTCCCCTGCTAACTCCCACCCTGACCCTCTCTCACGAGCAGCTGCAGAAAGGAGAGAAAATCCCTCGGCTCTAAAATGGCATCCGGAGAAGCTAAGACAAGCCTCAAGAATGCCTACCCGACTGCCAAGAAGCTGTTCCCCAAGGCAGAAGAGGGAGAGGCGGAGGCCGACTACTGCACCCCCGGGGCCTTCGAGCTGGAGCGGCTCTTCTGGAAGGGCAGTCCCCAGTACACCCACGTCAACGAGGTCTGGCCCCAGCTCTACATCGGCGATGAGTAAGTACCTGGGGCCAGCCTCGCTTTGGCCTCTCCCCAGTCACCCCCAACCTCCTCCTAGCCATGCGCTTGGGCCTTTAGGTTAGCTGTTCTGGGAGAACTGTCAGGGCCAGTTGATCTTCATATCCCAGAAAGCCCAGAAAAGGGGTGAAAGCCAGACAGGTTTCTCTGCTGCCTCCAAGTCCAGAGAAAGACGGGCTGGGGCTGGGGCAGTGACTGCAGGCCCAGCAGGGAGTCAGGCTTCAACATCTTGAGGCCATGGCTTCCTCAAGGTTGCTGCTGGGAGACAGAGTGCTGAGTGGGCACCAGGCACCAACCATAGGATTCAGGCCGTAAAAAGAGGGAAAGGAAGGGTAAAAGGGCAGTTTTCTGAAAACAAGTCCCACCCAAGTCTTCCCCCACTAATAGCTGCAAGGGAAGCTAGGAAATGTAGTCTTTTACTCTAGCTGGGTATAATACCAGCAAGAACAAGAGCAGTGCTCAGATTGACAGCGCATGTCCTGAAGGCTGGTTGACCTAAATTAAGGTGACCTTCCCCCCTGCTCCAGGTTTTTCCATCTACCGTTCCCATTCTTGATGCAAATGAGACCTGCTTATTATAAATGATGATAATAACAGCTGTCAATGGTTAAACATGAAAAGTTAGCCACTGTGCATGCACGATCTGATTTTGTCAAGATAACCCAATGAAAGAAGTTATCTAATTATTTTACAAATAAGGAAACTGAGGCCAGAGCATATATAAGTGCCCCAAGGACTTGCAGCTTGGTGGCAGAGAGCTAGGAGCAGCTCTGTCCAGCCCAGAAGCCTTGATGGTGGTCATCACTCCCCCTTCCAGGAGCGCCAGCCCTCCAGTGCATGCTCCCTCTCTCCAAGGAGCAGACGGCGTGAAAGGCCTGTGTGTGTGTGACTTTAATGTGCATCCTGATGCTCAAAACCTGCACATGCATCGTCTGATCATGGGAAATCCCAAGCACAGCATCTCTTGATTTTTATTTTGCCCTTAATTCTTTTTAAAGATTTTATTTACTTATTTGAGAGGTAGAGTTACAGACAATGAGAGGGAGAGACAGAGAGAAAGGTCTTCCTTCCATTGGTTCACTCACCAAATGGCCGCAAGAGCCGGCGCTGTGCCCATCTGAAGCCAGGAGCCAGGTGCTTCCTCCTGGTCTCCTATGTGGGTGCAGGGGCCAAAGCACCTGGGCCAACCTCCACTGCACTCCCGGGCCACAGCAGAGAGCTGGACTGGAAGAGGAGCAGCTGGAACTAGAACCGGCGCCCATATGCAATGCTGGTGCTGTAGGTGGAGGATTAACCTACTGGGCCACAGTGCCAGACTATTTTTTTTTTAAGATTTATTTATTTTATTTGAAAGCCAGAGTTACACACAGAGAGAAGGAGAGGCAGAGAGAGAGAGGTCTTCCATCTGCTGGTTCACTCCCCAACTGGCCGAAACGGCCGGAGCTGTGTTGATCCGAAGCCAGGAGCCAGGAGTTTCTTTCTGGTCTCCCATGCAGGGCGCAGGGGCCCGAGCACTTGGGACATCTTCTGCTACTTTCACAGGCTATAGCGGAGAGCTGAACTGGAAGACGAACAGCCGGGACTAGAACCGGCACCCATATGGGATGCCAGCCCCACAGGCGGAGGATTAACCTACTATGCCACTGGGCTGGCCCCATGCCCTTAATTTTTTTTAAGATTTATTTATTTGAGGGCTGGTGCCATGGCTCACTTGGTTAATCCTCCACCTGCGGCACCGGCATCCCATATGGGTACCAGGTTCTAGTCCCGGTTGCTCCTCTTACAGTCCAGCTCTCTGCTGTGGCCCGGGAGAGCAGTGGAGGATGGCCCAAGTGCTTGGGGACCTGCACACGCACGGGAGACAGGAGGAAGCACCTGGCTCCTGGCTTCGGATTGGTGCAATGCTGGCCGTAACAGCCATTTGGGGAGTGAACCAACAGAGGGAAGACCTTTCTCTCTGTCTCTCTTTCTCACTGTCTATAACTCTACCTGTCAAATAAATAAATAAATAAAAGACTTATTTATTTGAAAGGCAGAGTTACAGAGAGGCAGAGGCAGAGAGAAAGAGAGAGATCTTCCATCCGCTGATTCACTCCCAAATGGCTACAGCAACCAGAGCTGGGTTGATCCAAAGGCAGGAGCCAGGAGCTTCTTCCAGGTCTCCCACATGGGTACAGGGGCCCAAGGACTTGGGCCATCTTTTACTGCTTTCCCAGGCCATAACAGAGAGCTGGATCGGAAGGGGAGCATCCGGGACTCGAACCAATGCCCATATGGGATGCCAGCACTGCAGGCGTGCTTTACCCGCTATGCCACAGCGCTGGTCCCAATTTTTTTTAATTGAAAAAGTTACATGCTTTTGTATACTAAATTTAGCTAAGTAGATGGCTGTAATAAACAAACTGCATAATTCCCCCTGTCCCCTTCTAATTCTGCCACTGACTTCACAGTAAGTGACTTGCACACTTCTACTGCTTCTTCTGTGCTACTGCTAACATCAGGAAACATGAACATATGCAAACATAGAAAGGGTTTCCATTCCTTTTTAGCAATTTTAATGGGAGAAGAAAAGGAATCATACTTTACACACCATTTTTTTTTTAAGATTTATTTATTTATTTGAAAGGCAGAGTTACAGAGAGGCAGAGGCAGACAGAGAGAAGGAGGTCTTCCATCCATTGGTTCACTCTCCAAATGGCCGCAACAGCCGGAGCTGTGCCAATCTGAAGCCAGGAGCCTGGAGCTTCTTCTAGATCTCCCATGCGTGGGCCTAAGGACTTGGGCCATCTTCCACTTTCCCAGGCCACAGCTGGGAAAGTGAGAGTTGGATCGGAAGTGCAGCAGCCGGGACTCAAACCGTTAGCCATATGGGATGACAGCACCACAGGTGGTGGCTTTACCTGCTACACCACAGCACCGCCCCCACCATTCTACATTTTAAGTATTTCATAGCATAACTATGCCTCAACTTCTCCAAATATCTCCCAGTTGTGAACATTAGAAGGACTCTGTCCTGTTTTCTTTTTTGATTTCAGCTTTAATGGGATATAATTCAAATACTATAAAATTTGTTTTTTTTTTATTTTTTATTTATTTATTTTTTTTACAGGCAGAGTGGACAGTGAGAGAGTGAGAGAGAGAGAGAGAGAGAGAGGTCTTCCTTTTTGCCATTGGTTCACCCTCCAATGGCCGACACGGCTGGCGCGCTGCAGCCGGCGCACCACGCCTATCCGAAGGCAGGAGCCAGGAGCCAGGTGCTTATCCTGGTCTCCCATGGGGTGCGGGGCCCAAGTACTTGGGCCCTCCTCCACTGCACTCCCTGGCCACAGCAGAGAGCTGGCCTGGAAGAGGGGCAACCGGGACAGAATCCGGCGCCCCGACCGGGACTAGAACCCGATGTGCCGGCGCCGCTAGGTGGAGGATTAGTCTATTGAGCCGCGGCGCCGGCTGAAAATTTGCCTTTTTAAAACACACAACTCAGTGGTTTTATCACATCCACAGAGTTGTACAAGCGGCACCATTTTCTTTTATCTTCTCGAGAGAAAACTTCAAATCCATTCAACAGTTACTCCTCACTTCTATATTCCTCTAGCCCTTGGCAACCAACAATCTACTTTCTGTGTCTGGATTTACCTATTCTAGACATGTTTTCCCCTTTGTTTTATTTATACAAAGGGCAGAGTTAGAGAGAGAGAGAGAGAGAGAGGGAGAGAGAGAGAGAGGGAGGGAGGGAGGGAGGGAGGGAGAAACAGAGAGACAGAGAGGTCTTCAATCCACTGGTTCACTCCCCAGAAGGCCACATAGGTCAGGGCTGGGGCTAGGCTGAAGGCAGGAACCAGGCGCTTCTTCCGGTCTCGCATATGGATGCACTTGGGCCATCCCCTGCTGCTTTCCCAGGCCATTAGCAGGGATGGTGGTGTTGAAGTCAGCAGCTTTACCTGCTGTGTCACAACACCGGCCCTCTGGACATTGTATATAACGGGAATCCTACAAGACATGGCCCCTGTGGCTGGCTTTCTCCCATTTCCCAGGTTTTCAGAGTTCATACAAGTTGCAGTCAAAATTTTATTCCTTTTTATTACTGAACAATCCCTGCACCATTACTGCAGCTTTTCTGTAAGCATAAAATTAGCTTTTAGGAGAAAAAGTAACTTTGAACCAAAATATCACTATAAGAAATTTAATTTAGAGAAACAAGAGTACCAAGACACAAGGAAACATGTACAATATTTATTATAACATTGTTTGAAGTAGCCAAAAAAAGACTTGAATTTCTTCTCATAATAATGAAATATTTAGTAAACTTAGTAAATATATATTTCCTATTTTAAAGTAATCTGTACCCACTGTATAGAGTCTGTGACAGAGCAATAAGAGAAACTTCCTCACATGGTTGTATGGACCCAGACAATACATGGAAAACAGTGCAGTGCCAGCACACAGTAAGCACTCAATAAAGGTGAGTGATAACAATCCAACAGTGATTAACAGAAGAAAGCCTTAACTCCTGACCCCAAAGCCACTCCTAGTAACACTTTAGAATACTTCCTCCTGGACTCATTTTCCCCTCTTTGTTCTATTTATTTGAAAGGCAGGCAAACAGAGATGTCACATCTGCTGATTTACTCCTCAAATGCCCAAAACAGCAGGGGTGGGGACAGATAAAGCCAGGAGCCTGGAACTCAACACAGATCTCCCACATGGATAGCAGGCACCCGACTACTTGAGCCGTAACTTGCCGCTTCCTGAAGTACACATTAGCAAGAAGCGGGAATTAAGAGCAGAGCCAGGACTCAAACTCAGGACTCTGATACGGTATGCAGGCATCCCAAGAAGCGTCCCAACTGCTGTGCCAAACACCCACCCCATGTTCTATTTTTTTTTTTCTGAAGATTCATTTATTTATTTGAAAGTTCATTACGGGGGTAGGGGTGGAGGTGGGGAGAGGGAGAGGGAGAAAGGGAGTGAGAGAAAGAGAG